AAAGTGGGCTCGTGGTAGACCTTCTGGCTCTGCACAGCTCCTGACAGGAGCCTGGAGCCACGGGGGGGTCGGGCTCTGCTCCCAAGGAACAAGAGACAGGACAAGAGGAAACGGCCTCAAGTTGCCCCAGGGGAGGTTTCAGTTGCCCCTGAGGAACAATTTCTTGCCCTGGAGGGTTGCCCAGGGCTGTGCCAGGCTGCCCAGGGCAGTGGTGGAGTCCCCACCCCTGGAGGGGTTCCCAAGCCATGGAGATGTGGGGTGAGGGACACGGGCTGGGGGGACCTGCCCGTGCTGGGGTGATGGATGGACTCAAAGACTCTTAACTCTTAAAGGTCTCTTCCAACCCAAAGGACCTGCCCACTCCATTCTAAGGTTCTACCAAGCTGAGGTTACAGGAGGAGCCTCCAGCTCCCAGCATCTGCCCTCGCTCACCTCGCACGAGCTGCGTGCACTTCACCACGTGGGTGTGGGGATGGTCGATGGTGATCTCAAAACCTGGAAGAAGAGAGACAGAGCAGCCATCAGAAAAGCATCAGCAGCACACCCCACACGTCTCCTGCTCCTGGGGGACCTTTTCCCCTTCCCTCCTACAGCCCCTGCTCGGAGGCAGGCAGGAATTAGAGGAGCTCCATTTCCTGTGGCCAGAAGACTCAAGTTCTCCAGTCACCAAACCCCAAGGTCAGTGCTGCTGCCAGACCTCCAGAGCAGCTACACTGACTCCTGCTCTTGAAAGGCCTCACTGAAAACAAAACAACTATTAAGGAATTTTAAAAATAGCAGGACAGAGCCTCTCAGAGCAGCTGGGAGGAAGGAGAAGACAATGGCATGGGCTCAAAGGAATTTGTCACCCAAAAAGCTAAGAGGAAGCAGACGGTTTCCCTTTGAAGGAGCCCACAGCCCTCAAGACAACTGAGCTCCATCCTCACTTCAGTTTCCTACTCAGCTTGGGTGTTTTCTCAAGAAAAAGAAGAATTCAAGTCACTCCATGTGTGCAACAGATTTGGTTCTTCCCCCGAGCAGAACGTTCTAGAACTGGGATGGTAACAAAGGCAGCTGGAGCAGGGAGTGGTGGCCCCATCCCCGTGCCCCCTCTGAGCCCTGGCAGGAGCACCAGTGGTCTCTGGGGTACTTTGGAGGTAAAATGCTGCCTACAAACTGCCTCTGAGATGGAATGTGGATGGTAAACCCAAGTTCTGACAGTATGATTTAGAAAGGAATGGGATACCAGCCCCAAGAGCCACAGCCCTAACACAGGCTCCAGTTCCTACCTCTAAAAAACCCCCAAAGCTGTTGCTGTTTTGGGTTTTTTTGTGTGTGCCCCCAGCTCTCTGACCAAAATATTAACTTTTGACCCAGGTTTTGTTCAACAGCTCTCAGTGCAAACTGTTTCCTGGCCACAGGACTAGAGCATTCCTGTGTTCAACAGCAGGAGGACAGCAACCAGTGTCCAAATGGCACAAAACCTGTCGTGGAGGGGAGGAAAAAAAAGAGACAAGCCACACTCCCAGGCTTTAACTCCTCTGAGCACTGAGCCTGACACATCACACCTGAAAAAACGGCCGTTAAAAGGAAAATGGAAGGAGTGGAGGTGAAAAATAAAGAGCTTGGTGTGCAGGCTGCTGCTCTGCCGCCGCACATCTGGCCTCCAGCTGTGGAGAAGACTGTGGAAAACTCCTGCCTCTGGGATTCGTGGGGCAGCGCGGCCGCTTCGAAATA